GTGTGTCTCTCATTTCACTGTGACCCAACCCCAGAGGTCTCCCCGTTTGGCTTTTTCCCGCTTCCCTAATCTACCACCAGTGGGTTTCACAGAACCACCTCTTTTGACTGTGGTGGGTAAAATAAGATGCAAAGCTGCCATTTTCCGGAGCATTTATTTGCTCAATCCATTCAGGGTTGGCTTCCCAGCAAGTGTCAGTTTGGCTCAAATAAACGCATGAAACTTCTCACAGGCGTGGACGTTTCTTGGCGCACGCGTGCGCGAGCACACACACACACACACACACACACACACACATACACTGTCTAGACCCAAAGGGGGATGCATGAGCCCTTGTCCCTGTGATGCACACAGACAGGTAGACGGGGTCTCCCTCCCGGTCTGGCTCTGCCTCGGGTCTGAGAACAGACGTCCCACTTCCCAGGGAAGCAGAGGGGTGCTTGCCAGAGAGGGACAGTGATGGAAAGATGCAGGACACACCCCCTTTCCCGGGGAACCGCTGGCCCCGCTGAGCCCGTAGCCACTGGATGCCCCGGATCTTTCACTAAACAAGTCCCACATCCTGCAACCAGTTAGGGGGCTGGGGGCGGTGCCTGGTGTCCAGTGGAGGGGGGGAGCCCGTGGCAGGCCACCATCTCTGCCCCGAGAGGCGTCCCCGAGGCTGGGACTTGCAGCTGAGGCTCCACCCGGCACCCTGATGTGTGTGGCAGAGTTTCCACCGCAGCCTGGGCAGGGGGGCCCTGACTCCGCTGGGGAAGCCCATGGGGAGAATTGGGGGGGGATGGGCCATGAAAACTATGCCCCAGTTACTGATGCAGGGAAATGTGGAAAAAGAGAAGAAAAAGAGAAGGAAAAGAGAGGGAAAATGTGCAGAAACAGAGAAGAACAGGTGCTGGCCCGCCAGGAAGCTGACCGGCCCGGGGACATGCCCGGGAAGGCTGAGGTCCGGGCAGCAGGGAGGCGGGAGGGAGGTGAGGATTGGGGGAAACTGGGTGGGCACGGTGGGGCTGAGGAGGGGCCCTGGGAATGTGGTGTCCAACCTGGACCTGTGGCAGCGTGTGGCCCAGGAAGGCTGTGAATGTGTCCCAACACAAAATCGTAAATTTACTTAAAACATGACGAGTTTTCTTGCGTGTGATCACATGTCACAATGTATCAAATGTGTGGCCCAAGACAACTCTTCTTCTTCCAGGGTGACCCAGAGACACCACAAGGTTGGACGCCCCTGTATCTACAGCCATCCTGGGACCCTCGGCAATGTGACTGATTCCCTGGAGTCAGAGTTTCCTCGTTTCTAAGGTGAGAATGAAAACCTCTGACCTGCCTGGGTTTTAGCACAGGTTCAAGCGAAGTAACCGAGGTAGTTCTGTGGCTCTGTCACTGCAGGTAAGGCTTTCCCAGCCACTTGCACGGTGGCCGGCTGGCTTTCCAACGTCCCCTGTGGGGAACTCCGACCGAAAACTTTGGGGGAACCTGAGCCGGGTGACATTTGCGCTCAGACGCCGGGAAGGTGGACAGTGCTCAGAGACGGAGGTGGAGCAGAGCCGGCAGGCGGTGAGGAAGCCGCCTCGGCCTCCGGGTGCCGTGGGGGGCGGGGCGGGCAGCAGCCCGAGACACGGACGGATTCCTGGTTCCAGACAGACCCCGGGGCTTCCCTGCTCCTGAGAACAGGGGGTCCTGAAAACCCGCACTGAGGGCGGGGGGCACAAATCAGCGGTTCACACTGACATGTGACATAATTTTACCCATCCCCTTCCTGAGAGCTCCAGTAAGGCCTGGTGACTGTCCCAGGTGTGTCCTCAGTGCCGTGACTTCCCATGATGCCTACTGTGGCGCCCAAGGACCCACCGGGCCATCGGGGAATGTTTTTCCTCTTCCAAACCTGTCCTTTCGGGCATTTCCCTGCAGTCACCGGTGGCCAGCGGCCGTGGGCTGCAGAAGTGCTCCCCAGGGGACTTTCTCCTTCTCTCCCCCCCCAACACCCAGTGGTTCCGACCGGACGAAACGCGGCCTGCAGAGGAAACACCTCACCGCTTCACACACCAGGGCCCCTCCACCCGCCCCACCCGCCCCACGCAGAGACCCATCTGGGGCGTCGGGGCCACGAAAGGGGAGAGGACAAAGCAGACACGGAAGTCAAGTGGCTCTGAGCTCTGAGCCCTACCGCCAATTTAATCTACAACATATACTTTCCCAGCATCAACCAGTCAGCTGATATTTTCTTACATTCAAAGGAAGCAATTTTCTCCAATTTTACAGTCTCTCTAGTATTTCATGGGAGAGACACAGAGGGCTCTTGGCTCACAAGAGGCGGGATTCGTGGAAATGAGCATAAATAAACTCAGACAGTCTGGGTCATGGAGCCCCCCCCCCCCCCGGGTCTCCTGCCCGGACGGAGCCAGCAGGTGAGCTAATCAGGTCCTGTCCGTACCCTAACGACCCTGGGAGGGGACAGGGGGCCCCCCAAAGGGTGTGTGGGGGCTCATCGGACCATTTCCAGGGTTGGTCCAGGCTGCCTTGGTGAGAGGGGCCTCCCGGGGGTCTTGCCAGGGCCTGTGGCATTGGACCCCCTGTGTGCAGGGCCTGACCCCTCGGACACACAGAGCAGGCGGGTTCCTTGTCTGCAAATGCACTGTGTGCAAGGCAGAGAGCTGCCCACATACAAACGGTCCTCCGGGAGGAACTCCCCCCTTGCCGTCCGAAGCAGGGTCAGGAAGAGGGTATTGGGTGCTGTGATGGTGTGGCTGGAAAGACCCACAGCCCAGGTGTGATTGGAACGGCCAGACGACTTGCCTGCGGGAGACCTGTCCCTGGGCCGGGGGCCGTGCGGAGATGGCCACCGAGGGGCGATTGCTCTTCCGTGCGTTCCTCACCTGCCACTACAAAGTGCAGAGTCCTTTCCTCCCGTGCTTCCCCGGCCTCCTCGGACCCCTCAGGACCCTGCCCTCTCTCTTCCCTTTCGAGAACAATCCTCACCTTCCACGATCCTCCAAGTGGCTCTGACCTCCCGCGGAGCCTCATGCCCAGTTTTGAGACTTAAAGAACATTTCTGCTTATTTATCTTTTACCGGCTCCTACTGGGAACTCATCACCTAGTCACAGAGCCGACGCCTTGTGGGTGGAGTTGCTGGTCCGGTTAACGGGGCTGAAGGCCTCCAGCCACCCTCCACTGGCTTCTTCCCACCCCTCCCCACGTCTGCACGGCTGGCCTTTCTCACTCCCTTCTCAGTCACCGTGGCTTTCACACCTGTCACCTCGTGTCTACTTGTTGCCCAAACTTGCCATATGTGAAGCCAGACTAAAGCACACGTGTGTGATGAGATTCTCAGGAGACACCGAAATGCTACATGAGAACGTTTATGGAGTCCCCTGGAAATGAGTTTGGGGTTCAGGCTGTAAATGCCCCCCCGACCCCCTTAGTATTCTCTCACGGCTCCCACCACCCGAACCGTAAGCGCACACACCGAATGCTGGTTATTTCCGGCTGGCAAAATTACAGGCGATGCTCATTACCTTTGAAACAGTGTCCAACTCTGTCTCCTAACCCGCTCTCGTAAATATGTAACACACAGTAATAAAAATGTCGCCTGAGGCACAAGCTTAAACTTCCACTGTGCCAACGCCCTGCTCCGAAACCTTCCGTTCCAACGGGTCCAGCCAGACACCCCCGTTTTCTTGCCGCTGCCCCATCCTCATGGGCCTCCCTGCCTTCCAGGAACCCCCAGCACCAGGTCCCCGGTACAGAGGAGCAGAACAAACGAGGGTCCGGATGGTTTCTAAAGCTCACCCCAGCTCCACGTCACTCGATAGTCCGGTGACTGCAACCTTGTCCTGCCACCTCTAGCAAGTGTGGGGGGCCGGTGATGCACGGGGCACAGACGTCCTGTCTGCCTCCAGATCAAAGGTACACTCGCTTCCTCTGTCACACCCCCGAGCCCTCGGCTCTCTCCTTGACCCTCTCGCCTCTGGTCTCCCTTGATCATATCCATTCTCTCTGAGAACGCTCTCTCTCTTTCATCTGAAGCCAGAGGGGAGGACAACGGAGCAGCCGGTTGGTCTGTGACAGTTTGCGAAGCATCGGGAGCAGCATGCGGTGGGAAGACGTCAGGCCAGGGTGTCCCGTGGCAGGGCCGCCGCCGGAGGAGCAGTAACCACAGAGCCAGGGGACAGCCTTGCAGCCACGCGACCTCAGGAAAGTCACGGAGCCCCTCTGGGCTTCGTCTCCTGCACAAGCCAGGATTCGAACCAGATCTCTGGCGTTCCTGGACAAGATTCTCTGGCCCGAGAAGCACTTCAAAGTGTGCCCGCAGGGGCTCAGCCCAAACATGAATGGCACTTCCAGAGAGAACGGCACTTCCAGAGAGAACGGCACTTTGGAGGGCTGGCCGTGCCATGGCCTGTGTCTCTGTGCTGTGACCGTGCCTACAGCAGACCCAGACCAGCGATAGGACACGGGCCACGGGCCACCTGCCCTGCACCAGAAATGGCCTTAGGACCACTCCCTGCTCTGCTCCCACGTCCACTGTTTTGTTGTTTCAAAAACCCCCATAAACGAGAAAAGCAGACGCCGTCCAGATTGCAGAAGGTGGATGGGGCTGCACAGTCTCGGGGATCTGGCCACAGTCTCGAAGCGTCTTTCAGCTCCTTGGCCCCTCTGTGCAGTGGGACAATGAAGAATGAGACCAGGGAAGGAAGGAAAGCTCAGCTGTGTCTCTCCCAGGGCTGGTTGCTTAGCAACACCTCCCATCTCCGTGGGAAACAGGATGACTCTGGAGGCCACACGGAGGACTCATTTCTCACGAAGGAGCGGCCCCATCTTACCAGACATGGGTTTTCTTAGAGCGATAATGAGATTATCGCCGCAGTAGCTTGGGGCTGGGGGTGGGGGCGGAGGGTCTGCTTCTGTGGCCTGAGGGAGACCGAGAGACCACCAGGGGCAGCCAGGAGAGCCTCGCTGCCCCCAGTGGCCACCGGGGAGCGTCGGGGGCTGCAGGACTCACCACTGATCCACTTAGCCTCGGGGTCGTGCACTTTGAACTCGTCACTGAAGAGATCCTCCACGGTGACCTTCTTCTTCTGAGACACACTGTTATCTTCCGCTGGGGGAACAAAAATGAGGCAGAGAGTTACACTTTTTATCTCTTGGTAAAAGAGGAACATCAACATTCAGCTGCCATTCAGAACTAAGAGAGGTGGTGATACGTAATTTCTACAGATACACGCTGAACAAAAAAGCCAGCCACAGTTTTTATTTTAAAAAAAATTAAACCATCAAAAATGATGGCAAGGGGTCTGGGACTCCGTGCAGTGGCCCGTGTCACGCCTTCCCCATGCCTTACATACACCGACGAAGCACGTCTTCTAGGTCTGAGTACTGCTGACTGACGAGCAGTGGGGGCGGGGGCGGCGAAAGAGGAAGGAACAAAGTCTAGAAAGACACTTGGCTGCACCATGTCATCCATCGTTCACTCAGCATCTGTTAAAGGCCAACTGTTGGCCGCCGTGGGGCTGCTGGGAGTTCAAACCCAGCGGGTGTGTTTCTCGGGTATTTATTCTCTGTACGCCTCACACATCCCTGGTTGTGTGTGGCCGGGGGGCGGGGTCAGTGCTTGTTCAGAGGGAAGCACACCCCAAATGTCTGGGTGCAAGTGGCCAGGTGCTGCCCTGTGTCCCCTTGATCTCCGTGCTTGGGAGTTGGCTCCTGGGATGAGCCCTGACGGCGCTTGGCCAACACCCCCCAGGTCGGCAGAGACGTGTCGCGAATGGCGTGGGCTTAGAAGGCCCCAGAAACTGGACGGCTTTTATCTGATGTCCCGACCCCAAAGCCTGGGGGGCTTTCAGCCCTGCCCCTGAAGAGGCTTCGCCCACACAAGGCACAAAAACCCACTGTCTCCTTTTCAAGGATGGAAGGCCAGCCCCGCATCTGGCCCGTGAGCCTAAGCTCATGGCGTAAACGCACTGAGTGGTGCCTCCCAGGGCCCCACCTGTTACGTGAATGAGGGACCCTCAATTGTAACCATTTCGGAGGCACATCACGCACCCAGGTGCCCGGCGACATCCCTGCCCTCTCAGAGGGAAAGGCGGAGGCAGGCAGTCGACTGTTCTGGGAGACTCGGGGCCGCACCCCCGGTTCTGGGCTGTGCTACTGTGCGCAGCGACCCTCGGCACCGCGGGAGGTGTGCGGGCCATGCGTCCAGCAGGAGGGGTCAGGTCGGCGAGTCTGTACATTGGGGTGTTGTGTTCTACTTCTCTCCCTAACGTCCGGCTGTTCAGCCAGCTCCCACGGCCTGGGCTCACACAGGGCTTGTTGGAATTTTTTATGGCAAAATCTGTGGCTGGTTGTTGGGAATCGATGCCAATGTCTGTGGGATCACCTAACAAAACGAGAATGAATAATCTCAGAATGGAATCCCGGAATGGAATCCCTAGAGCTACCTCTGGGACTGCGGCACCTACACTGAAGGCTAAGAAAGCTGGTTGGTTAAAGAAAAGTCATGGTCCAAATAACAACGAACGCACTGTGGCTCCGGAAGGATTTTAAGAAATGAGACTTGGCTTCACCCAAATTCCCCAGACAATTCTTTGGTGACAGGGTTTTACAGTTTTGTCCCTGGCTTTGGCCAATGTCAGGCTCTCCGACAGAAATGTGCATTTGTGTCTAAAACTGTGAATGCTTTAAAGGGATTTTCCATTAAAAAATTTATTTATTATTTTTAGAGAGAGGGGAAGGGAGGGAGAGAGACATCCACGCAAGAGAGCAACATCAACCGGCCGCCTCTTGTGCGCCCCCAACCAGGGACGGAACCTGCAACGCAGGCATCTGCCCCGACCAAGAATCGAACTGGTGACGGTTTGCTTTGCGGGATGACACCCAACCCACCGAGCCACCCTGGCCAGGGCCCAGAAGACTCTTTAAAAGCATAAACCATCACGGATCCACCTTGCTGGCTGTTGCTGACCCTTCAAACACGACCAGTGTAAAGGGCAGTGGGTAGGCAGTTCTGTGAATCCTGACTCTGAGCGTAGTGTGAAGAATTACAGGGCGCACACCGGGAAACCTGAAGTCAGACACGGGGAAAGGAACGGTGTCCAGGCGCTGGCTGTAGAACTGAGAGTTTGTGAAAATTAATGCTATCTTATGTGACTTGGGTTGTTGATTTAATGTCTTTTCCTACTGTGTATGTGTGTGTATGTATATATATATATATATCCCTATAATATATATTACTTGGACAGTACATGTGAATAAAGTAGTATTCTGGCCCTAAGCACATAGTCACACCACAACTTAGCATCTGAACCAGGCTACGTATCTTCATAAGGCACCAGTGACCCGGTCAGCTGCTTTCATCGTCCCAAATGACTGCGCCCTTGCTGTGTGGACAAGGAAGCATGGTGCCCCCCACAGAGACGTGGGGGAGACCACTCTCCCCCAGTGCACCTCGGGTGGGCGTGGGAAACCCCAAAACACCTGCGTCACAAGTGCCAGTGCCACTCGAACGCCCTTTAAGGGGTGACTGAATTTCCGAAATTGCTACCACCTGTCACACAAAATGTACACTTTCCATTGGACTGTTACGACGTTGTGGATTGCTCTGGTTTCACTCGGTTCCTTCTGCTCGTTTCGTAGGACCCGTAAGTGCGCTTTATCTGTTTGATGTAGGTTCGCAAAATAGTAAAAAGAATTAGGTCCGTGAGGGATACGGGCGGGGTCTTTCCCTCCCCAAGGCTGCAGACCACACGTGTGTCCCGTCGTGGCTGCGTCTCAGCTCCTTCCCCGGGAGCGGAGATGATGAAGAACCCCACTGTGAAGCCATGAGGGGCCCTGCAGTGGTGGTGGAAGTCAGGGAGAGGCCCCCAGGGTGAGTGGGGGCAGAGAAGCGGGAAGATGAGGCTCAGCCACGGCCATCACCTCATTCCCCATCCCCAAAGCGCCTGCCCCTCTTCCAGCTCTGATCTCCCCGTGAGTCCACGGTCACGCCTCCTGGGTTGAGTCCCGGCTGTGCCAGAACAGGCAAAGGTGCTCACTCCCCCCGCCCCCTCGGTTCCCTGCGGCTGCTGTCAGACCCAAACCCGGTGGCTCACTGCAGCAGAAGTGTGTCCTCTCCCAGTTCTGGGGGCTGGAAGCCCAGCATCGGGGCCGTCGGGCGGAATCTCTGCATCACGAGGGCTGCTCTCTCTCAGAAGTTCTAGGGTACTGTCTCTTCCTTGTCTCCTCCAGCTTCTGGTGGCTGCGCCCCACCCCAGACGCTTCGCTGTCTCCTCTCTCTTTGGGCCAAATCGCCCGCTGCCTCCTGCTTATAAAGATGCAGGGGGTGGGGTGCAGGACCTCCTGGGCCATCCAGAGAGTCCCCCATCTCGGATGCTTCTGACACACGTCTGTGACAACCATTTTCTCGCCCTGTGAGGTGGCAGTCCCAGGTTCCAGACATCAGGACAATGATGGGCTCGAGGAGGCGTTTTTTCGCCCACCACACCCCTCGTGATGGTCCCTCCCACTTCCGACTATGCCACCACTTTCTCTGAAAACGCAGTAACCACACATGTATATGGAGTTAAAAACAAGACATAAACGACCCGTATGAAGGAACACCAAGGGGCAGAACAGGCTGCTTCAATCTGAGGCTTTGAAAATCATCACTTAACCTCATCGCCGGTGATTGTAATACTTCACATAAAAGCACTGAGCCAATTTAGAAATATCCTGGGGTTCAGGGACTATGAAACCACAATGTGAGAAAGTGCACATGTATGAGGGCCCCCCCCAAAAAAAAAGCCCGGAATTATTCTCTGGAGGGCGGGGCCCTTGTGGGACAGGCTTCCCCGCTGAGTGAGTGTTCTAGGAACCCATCTGGATCCGTGCACCAGCTGGCGTTGTTGTGAGAGGCTGTGTTTGGCTGCAGTGAATTTTTTTTAAGACTCTTTCAACGTGTTTGCCCATTGCATGATGGGTGATTTACGAGCCCACCTGCCCAGACTGCACTGAGTGTTCAGCAGTTTTTGACTAAAAATGGCAGGACCCCCACACCCTACCCTCTCTATTCACCCGATCTCACCCCAGTAACTTTTTTTGTTTTCCCAGATGAAAAAAATCCTCCAAGGGAAATGTGTGGCCCGTGTGGAAGAGAAGAAACAAAACAGAGCAGAAGCACCAAAAGGCAGCCACATTGACGAGTTTAAACACTGCTGTGAGCTGTGGGAAAAATGTCTCGATAGGCGTATTGCCTCGAATGGTGAGTACTTTGAAGTGACTGAAATTTACACGTGGAAGAATAAGTATGCAATATTTTTATAAATAAATTCTGATTTTTGGGGGGTGCCCCCTCATATACCGTTTTTGCACAGATGATCCCTGTTGTTCCTACAGGCTGTTGAGAGGAGCCCCGCCTACAAGAGAAGGCGGCCAATCCCAGCCCAGAGTGCGAGCCCACCCCGACCCCATGACCCGCCCAGTTCTTTCTGCACAATTTCTCTCCAGGCCTCCGGTTTTATCACATCATCGATTTCTTTGTTCCTGTCCCTGCTCTGGTAACTGGCCCGAGACTCCTGAATGGATGCCATTGATTCCCAACGGGTCAGAGAGTCCCCAGAAATAAGAACAACTCGATCAGCCAGCCCCTTGTATTGTGGGGTCCCGAAATCTCCCAAAACTCACTCAGAATTTACTGAGAGGCTCTCGCAGAGACCAGGCGCCAGACTCCGGGAATGGCTCGGTGCCAGAACGAGACTCACTGCTTTTCATGGCTGCATAACGCAGCATTGCCTTGAAAAGCGCCCTTTAATGGATAAATATGTACATGCACTTGCCTTAGCCAAATGCAAGCGTGAATAATAAGCACCCGAGGCCATTCGTCCTCCAGATAAACAGCTCTTGGGGGTGAGAATCCATAAGTAAGCAGGATGCAACTCACTCTCCTTCTAGAACTAACGATGAAGAGTTGCAAGAGACGGTGAAGGCCCACTTCTCAGAGCTGTGGAAGTTCACCACTAAACTACACGGTGAGCAGCGGTGTAAATCAACTGCCTCGGTGGGGAGACTCCGTCAGAACTCCCTCGCAGGCCTGGTTTCAGTTTCAAGAACCGTGCCAGCTCTCCGCTC